AACTTGCATCAAGTCCACTGAGAATCAAAACATTCAAATTAGTCTATGGCTCCACTTGAAATCTTGGATGCACCTACAGAGGGCATACATGTAAATCTAGAGAGAAAAAATGTGGGCTGAGTGGCAGTGTTGTAGGACTTGACTAAGTCTCAAGTCCATCTCAAATTGTTGCAATCTGGTGATTTGCTTGAAGCTGACCCAATTCTTTCTCAGTAGCAAAGGACTCAGACTTCTGTGTGATGACTCAGACAACATGCTTATGACTTGTAATTAACTCATAAGTTGTTCCATTGTTTGCATCATGTCTTAGCTACATGTATTTTTCTACATATTGAAAATGATACAAAAGTAACTTACAAAAAAAGGACTGCAACATGTAGGTCTGCAGATCCAAAGCATCTCAAACGTTTTGAACAGTCATTTCTGTCTTTTTTCGCTAGACTCTGGCAGAAAATCTTCTCTATTGGGAAGAGGTTCAATTGTCTGGTTATAAAATTGTTCCCACTACCTATTTTAAGGTATTTGTACTGCTGGTATGTATAAACTCAAATGTATGGTAGGTTTACCCTACATGTACCTGTGGTTGTGGCTGGGGTTGTTACCCTTATTGTGGTTGCAAATAAAAATCAGAAGACTGCAAATCCATTATCTTGGGACTTGCCCTGTCCAGAAACTCATCAAAAAAGTAGATCATATGTATATCCATAGGCTGGTTGTTTGGATGTTCCTTCCCATTTCAGGTCCCTTTGAGTTTGAGCTGCAGTCAGTGGAACAGTGTGACTTGGATCTATAGCAATTTTCTAGTATGATGCACTTGTCAGACCTGCTTGCAGTTTTTTTCTTCACACTAGCTTTGGAGCAAGTTTCAATGGTCTTTAGTTGTTAAGACTGTTCTGTCTTGGGATTATCTGCACTCTTTCAAAGGCTCCTTCAGAATCAATTGATTTCTTAGCATGGACTTATGATGCTGCTGTTTTGTATACACAAGAGGACAAACAGTGTGGCTGTAGATGTTCTAAATTCAGTTTGGTTCTGTACGTAAGTTCTGCATTTCCCTGCAATCTTTGGTCCTCACGGTTTCTCTTTTTCTCTGATTTATATTGTGTCTTTTAGTGTGAGTGTGAGAGAAATTGTAATTTGGCTTGTGGTTTTTTTTCTTTTGAGAGAGTCATTCCCTTCAGAGAAGGGCATCACGTCTGCATACACCAGTACATGGGCAACATTGTCTCTAGAATAGCACCGGTACATGTACAAGTATGTTGTATGTGAGTTTCTTTAGGGTCAGATCACAGCACAGTTAATTTGGCTATTATACATGTACATGTTGTCATGTACATGTACATGTAGTTCACATGAAGCCCTTTGACACAACTTTCTTGGCCATCCATTTTTGCTGTGCTTTAACAATAACATGGCGCATGTTTAAACAAGTTTCGGTGAATTCCATATATATGCAGTGCCACATGATGTCTATATAGAGGTTATTCACTGACGTCACATTGTCATGTGACTTTCGACTCACCTGCCATATTGGCTGTCAAGCCAACTTGTGAGACATACATCCACTGCATAGTAACACACAATTTGATTGATGTTCGAGAAGAAAATGACGATTCCCATGAAAGAATGATCTTTTCCATCTCTGCTATTTAACTTGGTGTTCACAGGACACGATATATTCAGACACTGGAGGTACATGCACTGAGCTCCATTGATCTATGTTACCGAAATCAATGTTTTGTAAGGTCATGTGTGAAAGTCACTGTCCAGATTAACGGTACCCAGATATCTTCAACTACCTCATCAATTCGACATCAGCGTACACACATCAATTGCTGAAAAACTACACAAGTTTGGAAGCCCACAAATACTTTGTAGCCGGATTTGTAAAGGAACAGGAGGTTTGCAAAAAAGTTAATAACACTTACATGTACATGGATATTGTTATGAGCAAAGTAAATTGAGTGAACATTGCAGCATCCCGTGTGCAAGTTTTGAGTCAGTTTTGGCATTGAATAGCAGCGAACTGTTTTGCTCGTTGTTGCCAATCGGCAGGAATCTGATAGAATGCAGACCTTTTGAACTACATGTCCCTTCACGATTATGGCACCATGTGGCACAGCAAACTTTTACCATTTTACAGCGAACAAACCGTGCTCATACGTGTATTTGCACACGTTACCATGGTTACCGTGAATGTGCTTGATGGCCAATATGGCGGCGTAAGCAAAAGCACAGACGTCTTGTGTGACGTCTTGTAGATTTCCCATATACCTGTTCCCTCCATAGAAGTTGAATATGAGAAGGGGGGCACAGGCCACAGTCCAGCATCCTAGCAAATACTGCTTTGTGACATAGAAATTTCAAAAAGCAATGTCACTGTAAGAAATGCCAAACAAATTTTCAACAAATGACCATTACAGGTCACCATGTGAAAGATCCAACTTTGTAAAGGATTACAGTTGTGGTACATGTTGTCATTTAATAAAATCTGTATTTTCTGCCCAAAACAAAACTACATGTATGCCTGGGTCAAGTGACACAGGAATGCCACTTGCAAGAGGTTAAGTTGTCAACACTAGGATTTAAGGACCCACAACAAAATAACAGCTGCAAGCATTTTTGTGCAACTTCCTCCTCATCTATGTGTGTTATCTGTTTGACATCTCTCTGGATTCAATCCTACTGCCAAAAGTGCCGCTTAAACTTTCTATCTTTCCAAACAAAGGTGCCATTGCTGTGATGTCAATGCAGGATATCTTTCTATCTTTCCAAACAAAGGTGCTACTGCTGTGATGTCAATTCAATGCAGGATATCTTTCTATCTTTCCAGACAAAGGTGCCATTGCTGTGATGTCAATGCAGGATATCTTTCTATCTTTCCAAACAAAGGTGCCATTGCTGTGATGTCAATGCAGGATATCTTTCTATCTTTCCAAACAAAGGTGCCATTGCTGTGATGTCAATGTAGGATAACTTTCTATCTTTCCAAACAAAGGTGCCATTGCTGTGATGTCAATGCAGGATAACTTTCTATCTTTCCAAACAAAGGTGCCATTGCTGTGATGTCAATGTAGGATAACTTTCTATCTTTCAAAACAAAGGTGCCATTGCTGTGATGTCAATGCAGGATAGTGTTTATTTTCAGGTTTTTGTTTAAAGGGTTCATGTTACAGTACTTTTCCTTGGAAACTTACACACCAGGATTTTTTTTTGGATAACTTCACACTTTTGATCATTTGGAATTTGCCTCAACACAAGTGTAAAGAACTACCAAAAGTGTCTGTATAACGGTACAATAAAAATTGAAACCTAAGTTTATACTGTGACACAATGGAGCACACACAAAATAACTGCAATGTATTGGCCCTTTTGTTCAAATTATTCTTCTAAAAAATTTCTTCACTTCCAACTACCACCATCTACACAAATCCCCCCAAAATGCACTAAAAATGTCACACATTCTGGTAAATTGTAGTGCTGAAAAAGCTGTAACACTGAGGCACAGTCTTAAGAGAAAAACTTCCCAGAAAAATATTTAAGCATCAAAATATACTAGTTTTTCATGTAGGGTGCAGCAAAAAATGTTCCCGTTAGAAGTTTTTTTTTGACGTACCTGTATTATTGTGACTCTGACTTTGTGATTTCCATGAGCAAAATGCTGTTTGACAAGTTATGCAGAAATCCTACAGTGTCAAGAAATGGTACGGCCATTAGAAGCAGCAGAAAAGCAGGGAGCCCTATTACTTTCCTCCAATTCAGCAGTGTTGTAATCAAGTTCTTTAACAGAACTGTATAAGTCCCATATCCAAGTTATTGATCATGTGACTACTGAAAGTTTGCAATGTACATGTAGGTCTGCATTGTTGGCCTTATCCAAGCACATGAAGACGCTAAAAACTTGTCTTATGAAAACAAACATACTTACTTTTGAAAAGTCAGGATTTTCTGGGCATAAACTATAAAACTGTATATACCTACCGGTAGCTGGTCATTAACATCAAATCTTTTTCCCAAGCCTTCCAACGTTAAACACCAAGTCCAAAATATTATTACATGTACATGTACATTTATGCGAGTCATCCCTTACACTAAAACTGGTGAAACATCTTTCAGAGCAAAATTGTGAACATCACAAAATCTGAACCATGCTCCATCTGCAAGTTCAAAACCACTGCTTTACAGTAATAAAAAGTACTGGATCTATTCAAAACCACAACCAACACCAGCACTGCAGGGTTGCAGATTTGAAGCAGTAACTTTGAGACACACACATGCACAAACATCATTTTAAGGAGAGAGAAGACAAAGGGTACAGTGCAGTCCAACTACGTATCCATGTCATCTAATCTATTCCCTTATTATTGCACTCTGACTTCCACTTAGCAAAATACCTGCACATAAATGAGTTTTCATGCAAACCACTGAGTTGTATGCTCACCACAAATCCAATTTTTTCTTTACAGCAAACCATGCACAAGGATTATAATTATTCATGCAAATGGCCTGTACATGTATTTGGAGAACAATTACCTGTAAGGTATGTGTTCTGAATTTCAAGAGAAAGCAAGAAGTTTGAATAGGCAGTGTCTGCATGTACATTTACATGAACGTGTGTACTGGGTACATGTACTGTACATGTAGGCCTACATGTAGGCCTACATGTACATTTACATGTACGTGTGTACTGGGTACATGTACTCTACATGTACATGCACACTTCTTTTTGACCCCTTCAATGCAAGTGCAGTTCAACCCTACTGGCTAAGGCATTACTCAACACTGACCATTCCTTAACAAAATTACTTCACGGTTCAGAGATTTCACTGTAGGCACAACTAGATGTCCAAGGACTTCCATTCTAAATTTTGGGTTGATTCTCCTCTCCTTTCAAATAGGTCTGAATGCCAACAGCGCTTCCTTGCCATAAACAAGAACACACCCCACTTGCCACTACTCTGCTAGCACTGTTCATGCACGGCGGTTGACCACTTCAACTAGAAGTCACTATGGAGTACGATGACATACTGCATCAAATTGGGCCATATGGCAAATACCAGAAACTCCTGGTTCTTGCCATGTTTGTGATCAAGATCCCACTTTCATGTCACTTTATAGCTCAAGTGTTCCTGGCTGCAAAAACAGACCACTGGTGTGCACTTCCAGAAAGCCAAGCAATCAACTGCACTCAACTCCGGCTGACTTCACTAACTGACTGTCTAGAAGAGCAGAAGAGCTATAGCATTCCTTACGAGATTGACCATGATGGGGAACAAGTTTACTCTTCATGCCAACGGTATATCTTGGGTGATGAAGGCGATGATAGTGGCCAGATTTTAAATTCAACTGATATCATCTCCTGTGATGCTGGTTGGGTCTTTGATCATTCACGCTACAAGTCAACCATCAATGAAAATTTCAATCTGGTTTGTGACAGAGAGGATCTGCCTGGAATTGCCCAGTCGATTTGGTTTGCAGGATTGCTGGCTGGTTCCTTGGGCTGGGGTTCTGTGGGTGACTGGATTGGTAGAAGGAAGACCTTCATCTTGACACTCATTCTTGTCACAGTGTCGTCAACTGTAACATCCTTTGTACCAAATTTTACCTCCTTTGTGGCCATGCGCTTCATTACTGCAGCCTGTTCATATGGCACCGTTCTCATGACGTATGTCTTGGTTTCCGAGATAGTTGGTCCCAAGAAGCGAGTAGTTGCCAACACCATACTGTTCTTTTCATTCTCGACAGGTTATGTTTTGTTGACTCTTCTGGCATTTCTCCTGAGAGAATGGCGCCACCTACATTTGGCTATATCACTTCCGTTCATCCTTTGCCTACTTCTAGTCTTTGTTATACCAGAGTCTCCTCGCTGGCTTATTATAAAAGGCAGATTCAAGGCAGCCACCAAAACCATTGAAAATATAGCCAAAGTGAATGGTACCCAGGTTCCTGAAGACTTAATTGACAAACTGAGTGACACCAAACAAGACAACAAGCAGCATTCGAACTTCCCCGTCACTCAGCTTGATCTTGTCCGCACTCCCAACATCCGCAAAAAAACTCTCATCCTTTTTGTTGACTGGTTTGTTGCAAATATGGTGTACTATGGTTTGTCCTTGAGTACCTCTGCCTTGGGTGTAGATGACTACCTTGCTGCCTTTGTGTCTGGGGCTATAGAAGTACCCAGTTACCTCTTTTGTTGGTATGTTATGAATCGCTATGGTAGACGTCTATCTCTGGTTGGCTTCTACATCTTTAGTGGACTGTTCTGCCTCATCACAATCTTCATTCCTTTTGGAGCAACTAGGGCTGCAGTGGCCATGGCGGGTAAATTTGCCATCAGCGCAGCATTTGGTCACATCTACATCTACTCTCTTGAAATCTTCCCCACCATCATCAGAAGTATGGGCATGGGTGCATCCTCTATGGTAGCTCGTGTAAGTGGCATTCTCTGTCCTTTCATCCTACTCCTGGGTAAGTACTGGCAACCGCTACCTCTCTGTGTCTTTGGAGGCGGCTCCATCGTTGCAGGAATCCTGTCTTTGATGCTACCAGAGACCATTGGCTGCCCATTGCCTGACACCATTCAGGACGGAGAAAACTTTGGGAGTAAGTCATCACAAAAACTAGTTAAGAATTCTTAAGTTTCATAACTTGTTCCCCTGTGTCATCAATAATTTTTGCATATCTTATGAACCTGAAAGAAAACTAACTTTGATCAATTCAAGTAAATGTTTCGGACCTACATTATACAGTCGACTCTCGTTAATATGAGGGCCTCGGGACTTTCTAAATTAGCTCATATTATCCGGACCTCGTCTTACGCGAAAGCTGCTGTCCCGCTTGTCGCATGTGTAACCGATCGACCGTATCGTTAAGCGTACATCATGTACAACTTCCTGTACATACATGTTGGCCTACATGTACTTTGTATGCACGCACGTGTGGTTTGGAATTTAATTTCAAGACAGTTAATGTTTATGAAAGTGAGAGGTAACTGTACTTTTTATGAATAAAGACTTGAAATAAAGAACAATAACATAATACAAGAATGGAGAAACCGGTCAAGTCGAGTTGGAGGATGCACGGTTGGAGCGATGCCGTTTTATGTCCCCAGCATGCCGCAACGAGATTGTCATACAACGCACGCACGTAAGTGCATTAACATTGTAGGTGGTAACCAACATCAGTGCTGTGCTTGTTGCACAAAGAGGGCGGGAACCAGTTATTGGTGGTGTGGATCGGCCAGTAGAGGGCTTCACTTGATGAGTGAACACCGCAGCGCTTTACTGCTGCTGTACACAATTAATTACGGAAGCGCCTTTAGGAATCCAATGGATTGACTGATTGACAAGTTGCCTTCAAAAATGCTTGTGCTACTTAGACGGATAACAATACATTTGCATGCAGCTGGGGCCCCCAAAATGCTCGTCTTAAATGGAATCTCGTAACACGCGAGTTCGTATTATGGATTTTTTTTCCTCCTTGGAATGTGCATAATTCGGCAAATATACTCGTCTCAACCGGAGTCTCGTCTTACCCAAGCTCGTATTACGAGAGTCGACTGTACTACCACTGATTGAATTTCCACACCATGTACAAGGACATGCGTCACACACTTCATGATGTGTCCTTGTCTGCAACCGGTAGTTGCTAACAGCTGAAATCAATTTCTTAGTTCTGCAAAGAAAATCTCAAAGCATGCAAGAAACTAGGCAGGACATAAGCCTTTATAATTGCATGGAAAAGTTGGGTTGTCTGGACTAAAATGAATATTTTTAGCTTGCCCTAGTTACACATACATGAACAATGAGTTTGATCTTCAATTCTTTAAATATTCCCTGTTTTGTTTACTACAGAGGGTGAGCGCTTCCAACAGTGTTATAAGAGAAACCCTGGAAGGAAGAACCAAGATCCTTCCCAACCACCACCAGACTATTTGCCTCTACCAACACTCCAAAATACCCAGCAAGACCCTATACATGTGGATGCCTAAAGTCGTCTCACTAGTTTGACATAGTAGTGGTAATCAGCTCTGAGCAGATGGAATGACCTGTTCCCACTTGCAAGCAATGACAAATTGGGAGCTATTAAAAGTTGTAAAATACTTTTTATTAAAAACAAAATTACTGCATATTACAGGGGTGAGAGAGGCCACTTCAAATTAAAGCTGAAAGCAGCTAGCAAAAAGCTGAAATGTAAGAAGTCCCCATGTGTTCGTACGGACCAGGTGTACAAAAAAGCTGAAATTCAAGGTCAGATATTTTGGATATGGTCAATGTTTCAGCAATCTACACATATTGAAAAAAAACAGCAGTGTTGTATTCTCCTTACAAAATGATTCTTTCTACCCCGTTGAGTGGTCAATCCATATGGCAATTTCTATTGTAATTTACATGTATAACAGTTTGAAATTGAGCTGAGAGTGTACTCAACCATGCAATTTTAATGCTGTCTTTTAATGCAGACTTGTTATAATTGCTGTAATAGAGTTGCAGCTGTAAGTAACCACTATCATCAGTTGGCAAAAGACTTTGGTTACAATCCTGAGCAACTGGCCAGAAAACAACAGAATTAAGCACTGCACTATAAAAGTGGCATAAACACATTTATAACTGAAACTTTGGCAACTATTTACAATCTGCCTGGACCCTACTTAGCCCCCCCCCCCAAGTTTGGAGAGTCTCTTGATATACTTGTAGAGCTTATGTTCCTCATGAATGTTAAATGAGTTAAACAAAAAATGGAATACATGTACCACTTCGTATTTATTTCCATTCAAGCAACTCCATTTACATGTACATGGAGTACTTTGGTGGCAAGAGTTATGCAATGAGTGGAATAACTTCAAGCTGCATCAGACCTTGTGAATTTCCTGTTTATTCGTGTGACAGTTTTTGATAGGCAATAACATCCATCAATAAGTTGGAGTTATTTTTGTTCAGGTATTTGGGCTTTAGCACATCTCTGTGAAATATATGTTAGTGAAAGAGGTTCAATGATATAAAGACAGGAAAGCCATGGTTTAACAGTTGAGTTTCTTTTGAAAATATAAGTCAACTGATTTTAAATGATATGTCACAGAATACATGTAATATCTAAAACTAAACATTCAGTTATCATACACTTATGTTACTATCTGGGACTCAATTTGTGTGTTGTACATGTCAATGTCAGTTTTCATTTTGGGATGACCCAAATTGCTAGTGAAATGTTCACATTCAGGCAAGAGGAACAAACAGTGTACGTATTAGATTTACATTAAAAGTTTACATCACTAAATACTTGAAGGTTGTGATTGTGCATACACGTTTGGATTTTCAGGTTTGGGGTTTTTTTAACCAAAGCAATTCTACTACTCTTTAGGACTCTGTATGTGTGTAAAATAGTAAGTTTTGGTTTTGGGATTACTGTAGTTATTGACTAGTGAAATGTTCACTTTAACGTAATGGGCAGTACAGTGTATGTACAATATATGTATTTATATTTACATGTACATGTACCTCATTAAAATCTTAACTGATGGGATACTCTGATAAAACGAAAGAATTAAAACAAAAAAAATCGAATACAATACTAATATTAACTCGTCTCTTTCGCACAATGATAAATACATGTATATGTACATGTACGCTGTACAGTGCATGTATCAACAAGAAGTATGTACATGTACTACCGATGGTACCGTACCTATACTTTTCCTTTCCACTGGACCTTGATTACACTGTACAGATGAAACCAAGTCCTTCCTCAGCAAAAGTCTTTATTTTTGCCTGAAACTTCCTGAAGACCAAATGATGTACCTATATAATAACTATACCTAAATTGTAAATGGAGATTTGTAGTGTGAGTTGGCTCTTTTCCCACCTGATTTGACCACATTTTCCACTTTTCAGTTCTTCTTTACAAAGAATGCACTGCAGGCTTTTGGATTTTTTAGGCGTGAATTGGTAACTTAAGGATCGGTCTTGCCAAATTCATTGTATCCAAGTCAGAGCCTCTTCGGACAATTATGCACTTGTGTTGCACTAAAATTTTGATGAGTTCATGTACAAAAATTGTTGGAAATCTCGTAAAACCATACAATAATGCTTGACACAAGACATGCAAGAACTAAATGTCCCCTGCACCAGTTGTCACAAAGTCCTCAATCAGCTAAAGCAAAACTTTACTATTAAACCTTATTTCTAGCCACAAATTTACAGTGAGATGTACACTACCGTGAGTTATTTTTTAGATTGTTAGTCACTACTTGCGCTGATGCAAAAATGGCTGTAACCAGTCCCACTGACACATTTATGAATATTGATATTGCATTTACAGCCAATCACAACACAATGACCCGCTGGTTAACAGGATTCTGTTAACACTTCGAGCCATGCCGAAAAATGCCCACACAGATTGTTATGTATACGCACATACATACATGTATATGTACTGGTATTTCTGTTTATTGTTAAAGAGAGACATTTTGGGAATGTAAAGACACACAACCAGACTTTCATTATCATTGGAATATCAGAACAATCAATAAAATTATCGAAACTTAAGTCTCCGGTGATGGTGGTTTCCGTCTCATGGCAGCCATGTTGAACGTGCAAAAGTGTCACGGACACGCATGCGTGGTACCCACAATCCTTTGCAAATGCAACTCCGAGCATTCCTTATAGCCCGCAAGCGGCGAGTAATTTGTTTTGTCCTTGCAGCACGTGAAGTGCTGGCGGTGGCCATCATTGACCATTTTGATCTCTGTATATATGTACTTACTTCTTGTTTATAATAGCTTCACGGTCTCACTGCATGGTCTGCGCTCCAGCTCGAGATGACAACATTGACCAGGGGAGTGGCAGACCTGGAAAGGGTATGGCTATTGACACATGTCCCAACAATCCAGGACATGTCCAGGATTGTCAGAGTTTATACGTGCCTATTACGGTATGTGTTTGGGGGAGGGCCTGCTAACTCTACTGTGTATCCTTGGATATCGTTGACAGGACAATTGAATTTAAAGACTATTATAGATCTCAACTTTGTTATCCACTTGTAACCATGGCAACAAGCTGAAGTATTAGGGACACTGAGCTGAAAGTGCATAAAATATTTGTGAATTATCTACCGGTATGCTGTGCAAAGACAAAATTGTAATGATAGTATTTCTTCACTTCACCAAACAGCGTGTAGCAAGCCCTAAAAAATGCAGCACACGTACATGTACATTCGCTCGATATACTGTACATGACACAATATCAATGGTGAGCAACAACACATCATTAAAGAATTTGAGTCTCTCACTTCCATTCTCTTTGGCTTTTGATAAATCATTGCTGTAAATATATTTTTCAAGCCAATAACAGAATGACAAAATAAGAAAAATCCCACAGGATTATAAGATATTTCTGTACTAGAATGGGCCTTTCAAATTAATAAACATCAATTTTGGACAGTTTTGGGCTGAAATGCCATGGTGCGTTGTATACGATGAACTCCTACAAGACAGTTTTGATTGTAAACACACGATACAAAAATGATATTAGTCTTCGTTTTTCTTTAACTTCTCAATTTGTCCAAAATATGCATGTGCCTTCTTCTATTCAACTGCCAGCTGCCATGAACAAGACAACAAAGCACACACAAAACAACACGGCACATGCGCATGTAACACAACTGCATGTATAAAGTAATTCAGACAATCCTAGCCAAATCTCGTTGCAATGGTCACCCACCCCAATCCCCCTCCTAATGATGGGTTTCATTGCGCAGTTTACTCTCCAGCTTGACATACATGTAACAACATTATCAGTGGAGTGGGGGGACCTACATTGTACATGTACAAAGAGTATGACTACAGACCCGTGTCAATTTTGTTTATAATCCACTATTTTTTCCAGGATTGTAGACTGTAAACACTCAAGGTATAGTACTGGCATCTTTTTTTCATGTATCAAGTATTGAAACACTGGGTGTCTAGTATCTTGGACTCCTACATGTACACACACTCATCTACCGGTCAAGCTGTGTCCAAACTAGACTTTTTTCCAAGGGTCTACACTTGGACTTTCAACAAGGGGAAATTTTACCAAGACCACAGGGGAAGTAACCAAAGTAATGTTTGATGCACACGCATAGTTTTCCTGTCTGAAGTATGCCACTGTGCTCGAATCCAGCTCTATGCTCTACTGAGCCACTTTCCATGCTTTTACCAACTCAAGCTGTCCACACTGGACTTTTTCTTGGGAAAAAGTAACTCTGGAAATTTTCCTGCGCAGAAATTGTCCGGCAAAAATGACCTTGCGACTCAGTAAAGTAACCTACATGTAGAGAGAACCTTCCTTGGATGTACGCACTCAACTTAAAATAGGCAAAGTACTCATTGTCTCGGTAAGTTTCACCAAAACGAGTCCAGTTTGGACAAGGTTTATGAAGTCATGTCATGAAGAAAAGTCCAATGTAATGGAGAAAAATGTACTCTTAAAATTTTTTTGTGATTTGTGAAATAATTTTACATGATGACGATTCCTGTGAAGAAATGTGTTATAGAAAATCCGCGACGTCATAAAATGTAATGTCACAATATTTTACAATAGAAATTGTTCTGTTACTTATGAAAAAAAATTCAAGCCACTGACATAAAACTGTATCTTTGGTGTCATTTTAGGGCCACCATTCACATACATGTAGCTTTCCCAAAAATCCCTAGCCACGTAATCAAAGACCTCTGGTGATAATATCTTGCATGTACATGTACATGTACATTGCAATGCATACTGTGAAACCCTACAGCACACAAATGTAACACTACCAGACTGTAGGCATGGTACCCAATGCACCTTTATAAACTAGTATTTACTAGCTTTTTAACCTTTGAAACATTTGATAGCTGGCCAACTGGTCCCCCTGAACACACATGGGTATTGGTGGTCTTGTTGCTATAGCAACTGTATAAAACACGTACATGTACAAGGCTTGCAATCTGGGTTAATCTATTGATCTTTTTTGGCATATCCCAACCATACACTCGTAAATCATCAGCACAAACACTATTCTGTGATCAAAACAACCAAAGAAAAATAACTGT